TCTTAAGCACTGAGTCATCTCTCAGGCCCTGATTATTATTATTATTATTTTATTTTATTTATTACTATTGGGTCTTTTTGAAACAAGGTCTCCATGTAGCCCCAGCTAGCCTGGAACTCACTAATTAGACCAGGATGGTCTCGAACTCACAGAGATCCACCTGCCTCTGACTCCCGAGTGCTGGGACTAAAGGTGTGCACCACCACGCCCAGCTCCCTGTTATTATTTTTTTCTTGAGTGCACAGCAGCTTATGTGATAAGAACTGATGGTAGGCAAGAAGTGAGGTCAAAGCTGTTCAAAATCTTACAAAGACGTGGCCTCAATAACCTTTCATGGCACAAAGAAGTCTATGAAGTCTGACTACACTGACCTATTCCATTTAGAAATCAGTTTACCAAATCAAACTTTACCTTCCAGAGTCTTTAATTCATTCGTAGTTATAATATTGCTAGGAGGTATGGATGCTAAGAATTTGCAAGATGCTAGAGTCTGTTGTGTAAGAATTCGGATTCAGGGGCTGGAGAGATGGCTCAGTTAAGAGCACTGACTGCTCTTGCAGAGGACCCGGGTTCGATTCCCAGCACCCACCTGGCAGCTATAAACCGTCCTTAACTCCAGTTCCAGGGGAATCCGAAGCCCTCTTCTGACCTCCGCGGCATTGCACAACACTCATATATGTGTGTAAAGTCAATGAAACCTCTGCTCCAGAGGTGGCACATATGGTCTAAGGGGGACAAGGACTCTCCCTTTACCGCTGAGATCCCACCCTGAGCATTAGTTTAGTGAGCACTGTACCAGTGAGCAGTAGTATAATCTAGAACTTCTTCAGAAAAGAGCCAAGAAACAGCAAGGAAACAAGCAGTTGGAATAGAAGGATTTGCTCAGCCAACCGAAGAGAAGTGTTGGAGATGAACACAGGAGAAACAGAAGAGAAATCAGCCTCCATCCAGTGTCAGAAGCCTCCCTGTGAATTCTGATGGTCTCAAAAGGAAAACCCACGGGATTTCATGCTGAGATAGACAGAGGATGACGGTTTAAACAATAGGCACTTCGAAAAGGAGAAATCAGATCCCTGAGTTATTTTAAGACTAGAGGTCATGTCCTTTCGTCACCTGTCTGTCGGAAACCCACTGTGAGACACATAGATGCTGCAGACACAATGGGAAGAGGTGACAGAAACACACTGCCCATGCTAAAATGACAGTGCAGTGGGACACGAAAAAATAATCAGTAGAAGTAACCATGCACTTAGAATTTTATAAGAAATGATTTGAGTGGCTGGAGAGATGGCTCAGCGGTTATGAGCACTGGCTGCTCTTGCAGAAAACCCAGGTTTGATTCCAAACACCCATATGGAAGCTAACTGTCCGTAACTTCAGTTCTAAGGGATCTGACGCCCTCTCTGACCTCCACAGGCACTGCATGACCTGGGTGCTCTTACACACATGCAGGCAATATACTCATACACATAAGATAAAAATAATAAATAAAATAATGTTTTGAAGAAAGACACACAGGGCCTTTAGGATATCCCACAACTTAGCCAGGGAGGAAGAAGAAGCTCCCTGAAAAAAAGGCATTTTCCTGGCACCTGGAGGTTACTGGGTCAAAGGAGCATGATGGTGTGGATGAAGTGGGGGTGGGAAGCTTGGGTTGACATTCATCCTGCTTCCCAAGTCATTGTTCATTTTCCCAGGACACCGTTAGTTTCTTGGATTTCAGCTACTAGTTCTAGCTTGGGTCTCCAGTACTGTTATAGACTCCATGAGTCCTAAGCTGTCAGATATATCATTAATGTTACACGTGGAAAATAATGTCTTGTGCTTTTACCAAACAATTGATGTTAGGAATATTTGCCACGTGCAGAGAACTCAATTGTTCCATATTCAATGGAGAGATCATATCTGTGGACTCAACTGCAGTCACAATACAACCCTAGCAAAGCCTCCAGGATCCTAACAGATATATATGCCCAGAACATTGGCAATGGGCTCATTTCAGTAATATCAGGGACAGAGTAGGTGCTTGGTTGGATTCTCTGAGAGCAAAGAGAAGGAAAGTAAAGGAAACTCTGTGTGTGTGTGTGTGAGCTAGTACACATGTGCATGCGTGTGTGTGTGTTCCTGTATACATATGTATATATGGAGGTCAGAGGTTGTGTTGGGTGTACTTTCTTAGTTGCTCTCCACTTTATTTTTTGAGACAGGGTCTCTTGCTTAAGCCTAGATCCTACGGATTTGCCTCTGCTGACTGGCCAGCAAGCCCCTGGAATCCTCCTTTCTCTGCACTGGGATTACAGGTGGTCACCTCTTTGTCCAACTTTTACATGGGTTCTGGGGAGTGAACTTGGGTCCTCATGCTTAGGTAGTAAGCACTTTACCTACTGATCCATCATCTCTCCCCACCCTCTTGAAAGAAACTTTGAAGAAGCATCTCCCAAACTTTTATAAATGGGTACTGTGATTACCAGCACAGTCCTTGGTGTTACACTGTCTCAGGGGAAGTCTGGCCTTGCCACTCAGTCATGCACGGTCTTGAGAAAGTCACTTAACTTCCATGCACCTCAATCCTCTCTTCTATATGAAGATGACAGTGCATACACAGCAGGTAGATGTGGAACACTTACTGGTACATACTAAACACCCTGAAAATGTCAGTTATCTGCTACTATCATTACCATGAACTCCTCTTTGTGGGAGAGTAAAGTACCTACAAATTTTCCTTCCTTAATTATAAATTTATGGTTTTAGCACTCATTACTTCAATAAGCATAGTAAACCACAAATATAAAACCAAAAACATCTTTTATTGTAATGGTAATTATATTGAAACACACACACACAAACATACATACCTTCTCTGAGAATCACATGCCTATTATGAAAACAAAAGCTTTTGTTCAGGTTCAACTTGGTTTTTTGTTTTTGTTTTTTTTGGCAATGCTCTGCAGTCCCTTTTCTTTCCACCAGGGGGAAGTAGCTAGCTACTTGCCATTCACTATTATAAATATGGCTAGGATGAATGACCACATTACCTAAAACACTTAGTGACTCATGGTAGTACTTGCATATAGAATTTGCTTTTATAAACATGAAATTCTCCCCTCTTCAAACTCATAGTCATGCCTTGTTATCTTCAAGTGAAACTCTTCTGAACACCTTATGCGTATTGGGTTGTACTGTTTTGTTGGAGACAGGGTCTCAGTGTACAGTTCAGCTAGACTCAAACTCACCATTCTCCTCCCTCAGCCTCCCTAGTGCTGGAACCACAAGTATGTGCTTCCATGCCCAGGTTATATTAGAATTTTAATTCCCGTTAGAACACAGTGAGACAAGCACAATTGCATATTACACATTTTACAGATGAGGAAACTGAGGCACACATAGATAACTCACAAGTAGCTAACACAAGAAACTACCCGATTTAGACTATTTGAGTTCATAAACTGAATTAGGTTCACAATATTATTGCTGGAACCCTCCCACGTCAGTGTGGTCTTTTCCAGAAACTTTGAAGAGATATTTGCCTCTGTCCAGCTCAGTATTTATGAGTTCCTTTCCTCAAACACTGAAATATCACTAGGATGAGAAGAGACATTGTATCTAGTCTAAAACCACTCAGAGGTACTAAGACACTGCTGAAACTCCTTTGATTTGTAAGAACATGACTGTTTCCTCACAAACACATTATGAACAGCCTGTTAGAATATTTTTGAAAACCCTTAGGATGTAAATCTCACAAGTTTTCTACACAATCAACAATGAATGTGGTTAACACTGGGCAGAATACATGCTTGTGCTATTTGAAAATGAAATATTCACCTTTAATGAAAATACGTGAACTTGGTTTGTGTAAAATTAAGGTGAGCATAATGATTTCATGTGACTCCAGACACTAGTCTCAGTATATTTATTTTGTTCGTTCTCAATAATTGTCAGAGAACTCAAAAGATAAATCGGTATTCTGTTGAGAATACCAAGCTGTAATACAGGGGACTAAATTCAAATCATGGTTAAGCACTTACGGGTACCTGGTGTATTGGGGGGGGGCGGTGACCCTCATTGGATGCTCTCGTTGACCTGCCCAGGCAAGGAGAACTTGTCTCTTCTCAGTACCACCCTTGGCTGGGCTCCACCCTCCCTGCCACACCTGAGGAGTCACTGGGGCAGAAGCTGACTCCGGACGCTGAGGGGAAGGATTTCAGTTGTTGGCTGTGTGCTGACATAAGACTTTCCTTTGGAGAAACAAAAATAACCAGGTGGAGATACCTAGGGAACCCACGGACTGGGGCAAAGGCAACATGAAACCACAGGCAGCGCTTCCAAGACTGAAGCAAGCATTTGTTATGAGTGTGTTCCTTCATCAAAGTTACAGCTCCCCTGCAGACCCAGACTGGGAGCACAGACACCGGAGCCACCCAGAGAAGACAACGGCCCCAGGCAATCTAGAGTTCACAATGCTGCTGTAAAGATGGACAGCCAGGCAAACAAACAAAAGTATATGGGCGTAAGAGTCAAGGTCCAAAGGTGGATGGGGCAGGAAGTGCGTGCAGGGGTCAGGGACTAGCTTCTGGATTTGGGTGCACAAGTCCCAAAGCTTTAGGATCCAGCATTTATCCACAGGTGCCACTGGGACACCCATCTTTAGCGCGCTTGGAACTCAAGTGTGGCCTTGACAATCCTTTGCGCACAAGCTAGCTAAGTAACCAGAACACAATTTATGCTGGGGTGTCGAGCTGGCGCTATGTACACGTGCATGCGTGCGTGCGTGGAGGGAGATCGCGGGTGGGGCTGGTGATACAGGTGGGCCGGCTGAGGTTGGACCATTCGGCGGGGCAGGCCTGAGCTCTCCAGCCCGGTAACCCCGGCAGGCCGCTGACTGGCGCGCCCGGGGCAGCCAGGCAGGTTGGGGCGGCGCGCAGTGAGTCACCGGAATCTGGGTGGGGCCCGCTCGCCGCGCCCCCGCCGCCAGCCCCAGGCAGCGTCCTCCCGGGAGCCGCCCCTTCCCTTTTGTGGCGGTGCCCGGTCGGCGGGGCCACTCTCCCGGTCGCCGGTGCCCCGCGCTCCTCCGCTCCTCGCCGCCACCGTCGACATGCTGCGCTGCGGCCTGGCCTGCGAGCGCTGCAGGTGGATCCTGCCCCTGCTGCTGCTCAGCGCCATCGCCTTCGACATCATCGCGCTGTCCGGCCGCGGGTGGCTGCAGTCCAGCACCCACCTCCAGACGTCCTCGCTCTGGTGGAGATGCTTCGACGAGGGCGGTGGCAGCGGCTCCTACGACGATGGCTGCCAGAGTCTCATGGACTACGGTGAGTGGCCGCCGCTTCCAGGAAGCCCTCCGGCTGGCTGTGACCTGTGTCTCCTGCTACATGCACAAGGCCTTCCTTAAAGGGGTCAGGAGTCGTAGCTGTTTATTTTGTTTTGTTTTGTTTTGTTTTGTTTTTTAAAGTCTGTTCAGAGCTCAGACTCCTGAATCTGACATAAGCCAAATGAAGCAACAGGCTAGGGTGGCTCAAATAGGCTCAAAACTGAAACTAGCCCAATTCAAACATATACTTTTAAGAATAAGATTTGTCAGTTGTTTGTGTAAGATGGTGTCAGCCGTTGCAAAGGTTTAGATGAGTAAATATAATGAAGAAAGGATGGTTTCTTAGAAACCTACCCAACTTTTTTCCCACTCCTCTTCATATAGAAGTATTAAAATAACGTTCCAGGTGGATTCCTTTCACTTCTAATTTAAACCAGAGGCACCCCCCACCCCCCACCCCTGGTCTCCCCGCTCCCTAAGGAAGTCCTTATTAGCAAAGTTGGAGCAGTTTTGCTTTCAGTGGGTTGGCCAGTGTCTTACCTGTCAAGCTAGTCAAGCTAGTTATTGTTGGCTCTTGTACTGGGGAGTGATCTTTTGTCTTAAGCACGACTGTTCAAAAAATTTATTTGAATCTGGTTTGAAATTTTACTAAGAAGTAAACACATCTTCTACCCCCTGAAATGGAGCTGGCACATTTAACACACCACAGGTGGAGGGCTCCAACTTTGCAGACTGGAAGCTGGAGTGCTTTATTTTGCAGCCAGGAATAACTCTTGGAAAAAGGGAAAAAGCATTTTCTTTCCTGGGGGGCTGCTCTCCTCGTTTAGGGTAGCTCTGAAGAACAGTTGGACTCTGCTGTGACCGGCAGCATTTTCTGGGAGTGAACATAAAAGCTTAAAGCCAAAGCAGGTTTTAGTACCAAGTTCTGTTTTTTTGTGTGTTTTTTGTTTTAATAGAGAAAGCGAGTTACTCCCTTTTCATCCTCTGATTTCACTGTAACTTGATCGTTTTCCCGAAGCAATCAAAGCAGGGCTTCCACCAAGTGCTGTTTGGTTTTGAGTCTGGGCCCTGTATCAGTAGCTTGGTGTATGCAGCTTCTCTGTTGTAGAATTCTTTGGAAATTCTCTGGATGAACATCCTCAGAGAAAGCCACGTGGTTGTCCTTAGGCAGGCAATAAAATGTGAACTGCAGATGTCCCAGCTTTCTTTAAAGCTTGTATTTTTCTTCCTTGTAAACACAGACACTGAGTAGGATGTTTTCTATCACTCCAAGTCTTTTAGTTTTGGAAAGGGAAGTAGCTGTATTCAAACTCAATCTTTTGTGGGTTTTTAAAATACACTGTGATAATTATACCTTACCCCAATACTCACATAGTCCTGAAGAATACTCAGTAGTGGAAGCAGTATCAGAGCTCTTGCTGGGACATGATTGAGCCTGCAGAGTGCTGGCTGTGCCCACAGCCCTCTTGTGAAACACACACAAAGCCATTTTCATGTTTCTTGCCTTGTAGGTGAGCTCACCTTTAGGGTGTGGCTGCTCTAACCTCAGGTTGATATACTACTTTGAGTATGGAAGAAAGGAGTTTTTCTCCCAGTTTGTTTGATTTTTAAATTACAGGTTTCAAACTAACTTTAAAAATTTTTTTTTAACTTATTTAAAGAAAATACTCATCTAGTGTACAGTTTGTTTCGATTTGCTATAGAAATTGGCCTTTGGAAAAGCTCATTTATCCAAGTGAGCCTTGAAAAGTCTATTATTCTTTCTTGATGCAGCACTCCTGAATTTTCCTAATGCATCCCAGCTTTAACACCTCAGGGGGAGTTATTCCTATCGCTGAGACAAACGTGATTAAGCTCCAGTAAAGTGGTAGACAGGGCTCTTGCTCAATACCCAGATTCAAATCACCACCAGCAGATTGGCTACTGAGGGAGACAGTAACTGTGACTCTCCCAGTGAGGTCCCCATCTCGCCATTGTAGACTGTGGAGTTGAAGCACTCTGCCTGCCCACTCTTGGTGTGGACTGCTCTTTAGTTTGGCTATGCAAATGTAAAAGAATGATGTAGTCTCACACTTCATTGTGATTATGTAGGCAGGTAGGAACTTGATTTTCAGAGAGTCTCACTAAGCCCTTGCTGAAAACAACCTTTGCATGAGGTCATGCTGCAAGCAATGTGTTTATGCACACTGTCCTGCATGGCGAAGAGCGAGGTGGACGACTGTTTAAAATGATGTCAGCGTGGAGAACTGAATGTGTACATCCCTGTTAGAAAGCTTCTTGATGAGTACTTGGAAATAAGTATATTTATTTGTAATACATGTTTCTGTTTGAAGAAATTAACAAAGTAAAACTTTCATTGGAAGTGTTTGACTATCTTTTTTTACTGAGTAATATTCGTAATGTTGATATATTCATTTTGATAGTAAAGACACTGGCTATTCCTAGCAATATTGATGGTAATACTAAAAAATACGCATGTTGTTATAAAGGCAAATAATTTCCTAAAAGTACATAAACAACAGGATATTATTATATTCTTCATGATAATTGTTCATTTTTTTAAGAACTGTGGGTCACCAAATCATCTTGTTTTTCCTCATAAATGAGCCAAATTATACCCTGAATATTTTCTATTCTGTGATGGTGACATCTAAATTAACATTTAGCTTAACAGATACTTGCTTGAACATTTTAGTTTCTATTTATCAAGAAGAAAAAGAAAATCTAGATTTATGATTGAAATGATCATCCAAGTTTCACCTGTAAGTAAAATTCATAACTAAACTTGAATGAGTATTCACAGGTATTGTCTTTGCAATGTCAGCACGTTCTTCTCCAGTTTAAAGAAATAACTCATCAGGAAGATATTTTAAACTTTGGCTATACAGACATCAGATTCCAGGCGAGCTCTGGCTTGTCAGGGTGAGGAATAATGGGGATGAGTTTATGCACCAAAGACTGGAAAGTCAGTGCTTGGAATCTGGACTCAAGCACAGAACCTCAGTACCATAGACACTCTGAATCCTTAGTATGCACCCTGTATTTCCCATGGAATCACTCTTCCACAAGTCAAGGAATCACAGTATCCTATGGCTAGGATACGATCACTAAGCTCCGTGGTTCCTTAAAGTACAGGATATGAGAAAAACAGGCACAAACTCAATCATTTACATTTGTGGCTTTGGTCGGGGACTATGCTAGGGTAAGATGGCAAGCTGTTGTTGTTTTATGAAATTAGTATTAGTCAATAGATTTGGTGTGTCTGCGTGTGTATGTGTTCATATTCTTACACCGCAAATTTAAAAAGTTAGACTCTCCTTTGAATAACTATAAATATGCATTGATTTGTAAAATCTAGAAGTTGAGTGCCAGTGGTGTAGGCTAGTCTACTGTCTGTTTGCTGCATTTAGTAGCACCCAGAGAGCCACCTTGGGAGGGATGACACTTGGTTTTGCCATTAAAGTCACAGACTGCTGAACCATTGGGATTAGGCAGAATTAATGTGCATGAGTTCTGGCATTCACCAAAGCCCCACAATTAGCACCTACAACAGAGAAGTCTCCTTTTATTTGGCACCTTAACCCTAGCCCACTGGACAATGCTATTTGGGTGCAAGCACCTCTTCTATGTGACCTGGGCTGAATTGTGCTCCATTGCAACCCTGCTTTCCAGCCTCCTTCCATCTGATAGAGTTCAAGTATGTGAGGGTCAGTCATATGTTGGCAGAAAGTTCTATTGTCTTTAGTTGTAGTTTTCCAGTTTTTTACCTCTTTCTGGGTAAGATGTTTTCTCCACTCATTGATTTGATAAAATAAGAATGAGAAATAAGTCCAAGAGTTCTATAAAAAATACACACAACACACACACACACACAGTGGTAACTAGTCACCACCAAGCTGGGTTGTTTTAGGAAAAAGTGACAAGTGTGTAAGGAATCTCACAGCACCCAAAAGGCTGTCCTATGGCTCTCCTGCCATTCTCTCCTGGGCCAGCCATTCCTTACTGCCTTCTAGAACTTCCACAGGATGGTGGCTCCCTCCTCTGTAGATTTGTTTTTTGCAGGTCTATTCTTAGTTGTCCCCTGGATTTCCATTCCTCCACTGTCACAGATCAGCAGCAGCACATCTGGGAGGTCACTTGACACCTGTGTCTCACCCTACCATGGAATCAGAACCTGAAGCTTAAGAAGTCCCCTGGTTGATAATAAGTTTCCTTGGGATGTTAACTTGCAAGGGCCTCTGAGTCCAGACCCTTGGCCAAGTCATTGTATACTACTTCTTCTCTGAACATCATATCCACCCATGTTTAGACGTATTGGTATACTGGATCTTTTTTCAAATACTCAGATTTCATTTCTGCCTGTGAATGACATAAATAACCTTGGAGAAACAAGATACCAAAAAAATCTGACAAAATCTCTTATCCACTGTGTGGGACTTGAGGTGAGGTTTTTGGTATTTTTAGTAGAGGAATCTGTTGTTCTAGAAAAGGGCTTCACTTTAGTTGTCTTTGGAATGCTGAGTAAGGGGGGCTGGCCACACACTATTTTCCTTTCTGTTTGGTGTCACTTGTAAAATCTATGAAGAATGTGGCAACTCCATAGAAAAAAAAACATTAATTTGGGGGTAAGAAGGGAAATCAGTGCTAGTCTCCAAAATACCCACAAATTAAGACTCACCCTCACAAAATTAGGAAAGGCAGTAAAGTTCAGTATGTAAAATAGCAATGAAGGGCAGACATGTTTAGAATTGATAAAGACGAAATCTGCCTTTGAAGAGCTGTGAACCATCAAATCATGAAAGAGGTGGCTTTAAGACAAGTTTTCTAAATGAATATTTTTCCTCAGTGTTGGTAATAGGATATGCTATGGATCATAATATAATAGACAATATAAATAGTCCTCAAAGGGTTGAGTACATTTCTAGATATTAGGCTCATTCTGGGCAACTAAGAGAGACGAAAGGTACGTGGGATAGATACATTTTAACTCTTCAAAATGTGGATATTGGGAACAGCAGCACTCTAAGGCTGTGTGACCAGCAGTTTCCTTCTCGGGCTGAGCGTGAGGCCTTGAATCCCCTGCTTAGACACGATATGACCCGCCGCACCATACTAAAATGAAATAGTCGTTGACATGGGAAGGTGGATTACTTTGCTTGGAGAGGTCAGTCATTTATCAGCTAGGATCGTAAAAGCCATGGCAGCATTTCTCTTTAAATGATAGTTAAATGATTCATTGTGGGTGTTTCTGTGCTGTAAAGAGCAGGTTTTACATGTTCTACAACCATGGTGGCTTTTCTCAAGAGAAAAAATGTTCCTTAGCGAGACATTAGCTGAATTGATTTAATATGAAAAGTGCCCCCAAATGGTCTGTATATA